GTATCTTACATTCCTAATGATGAGCAAATGCTTTTTGTTATTTATGATGATGAGATTCACCTGCCTTCTTTTTTTGTATTAGTGGGGAGAACTGATATATTCACAAATTTGTATTTTTATGTCCATTAGTGAATATTTTTGGCACTTTTTCTATCTTGGAATTTGCAGGAACTCAGACTTTTGCAGTTTACTGTATCATGAGACAAACGTTTAAGGCAGCTCCAGTTCAATACTCCAGTTTTCATGTCAACATTGTCCTCTGCGGCAGCAGACACTAGCAGCTCGGGCCCAATTAATCATTCACACATGTCTGTCCTCTCTGAAACCTTTCATGCCAGTCGTACAGTAGGTAGTTTTCCTCACTCCTGCTAATTGTATTATATCTATTAGCAATCCCATATTTGTATTTGACATCTTTTGTTAAGTTCTTAATTTTCAATTCCTTTGGTGTATATTTTAATGATAACTGTTGAACCATGATTGAACAATATAGGATTAAATCATCATCAACAATCATCATAATGAAATTGATATAAAGAATCGGCTCTGTCTACATTTCCCCAGCAGATGGCAGTAGAAATCTAATACACTGCAATTCACTTGGATAGCATCCTTATGATCTATTTGAAACTGTAATAAATAATATCGTAAATGCCTAAATTCTAAGTTTAACCAGTGTTTGAATGGTCTTTTTTGCCATTCAAACAGCTACCCTCTGTAACAGAATTTACATAGAAGTGTGATTCTTTAATCGATGTCAATTAACAAAGAACGTCCAAGACAGTTAATGAAATGCAGTATTCTTGCATAATAAACTGGGTGAGTCAGGTAAAAGTGTAATAAATTATTCGTAAATAAGGATGTTGTTACCTCTGAATTGCACCCCATCTACACAGTTCATTTTAAGATGTTTTTGGGGTTTGTATTACCAAATGCATGGATTTATGCTCTTGGTTCTACCACTCCGTAGAAACGTAAACACAATGAACTCAAGATGCTATTATGTGTTCTACGTAATTTTAAAACAGATACGTTTTTTCCGTAGAATATTGGCAATTCCACAGTTAAAGATGGATTTACTTTAAAAATCAGTATAATTTTAATTTACTATACAACGCAGATGAGGTTTAACGACCTTATTTTAAACGGTTGCCAGAACAATTAAAATGTAAAAGCATACGTACTGTATATATATTGCAACGCACATAAACATGTTTAATGCTGCATCTAACGGATTAAGGAGCATGTGTTAAACGGCATGTTAGAAAGGGTGGCAATTGTTAGTCAAATAAAATAGGGGATGGGATATACAAAATAAACCTGCACAACAAATCTTTCACAGCAAACGCCTGTCCAACGCGGATCAGAATAGAAAGTGAACATGAACTGTCACCTACAGTATGCTCACTCAACCGGACTTGGGGGGGATAACTACCTCTCGGCGTTTACCGTGGGATTCCAACACTCAACCTATCTTCGGTGGTCCCGCCTTCTTGAAGACGCCCACCTCCGAATTCTCTTCTATCATTGGATAAAGAGCAAAGGGGCGGCTCGCCAAAGGGTTCTTCTTCGTACTATGATTGGACAGACGTCTGCCAATAAACATCCAGTCTCCTCGGTAACTAATAGTGCCGTGGTAGGTTGTCATCTGAAGGGGTTTGGTTACTGTTGCTGCTGCTGCAATGAAAACATCGGCAGTGGAGGAGAGTGGAGCCAGTCTTTTAATTGCCAAGATTTGCGTGAGTATGTTTAAGTTGTCATGTTGTGGATGCCCTGCGAATAGGCTGCAGACGTGCTGTCGGGTTGTTGTGCTCCTCGTACGCGAACATCTGTGTGTATCCTCTATATATATATGTTTTTTTTTTCCGGGTGGTCGGGGGGTGCCGTAGCAGCAGCGGCAGCTGACACTTCGCCGCACGGCTCTCGTTTCGGGAATGGTGGCGGCGGGGTGCTGCGGGGGTTTGGGAGCGAGTGGTGTGCGCAGGATGATGGGGGGGGGAGACACGTCTCGTTAAGAACTGTAATTGTGCATTAAGACGACGCCGTTAGACCTGTAGCCGAACCCGCGTCAGCCCTTCGCGGATATTTCTCGCAAGCATTCAAGTCTTCCAGCGCACAGCCGATCGCCCGTCTGTATATCATAGACTCATTTTTGTTATTAGACGAGATAGGCCTGTTTATTGTACGGTTATTAACTACGCCCTTTCTGACTGATTTTTGCGTATTCGCTGAAAAGATTGACGGTAGCTATGCCATTGATTCCGTTTTATTACTTTAGGTAATGAAGTGTTGTGTTCGTGCCACCCACCATCAGTCTACCTTATCACAGCTGCCTGATTGATACCAGGAGTATTTGACGATCGCAATGACTGGGGAAAAGAATTCAGTTTTTTTTTTTTTGGAGGCACTCACAAACATTCCATCACATTTAATTGTTCAGAAAAGGGGGTTTGGTTTCATATAATTCAGGTCGCCTCTTAATAAGTGGTTGTGGTTGATGGTGTTGGGAGGGGGCGGCGGGTGAGATTTGTCAGTAGCAACAGGGTTTTTACTGTATGACCGTAATAATGCAAACGTTAACTGAGCTTTAAAGAAACGTCAGTTAGTTCGGCCTGGTGGCCCATATGCCGGACAACGTTAATGCCGACGAAATAAATATTTTCAAGTGTCAGTATTGTGCCTGGCACTATTATTATGCTGGACTAAAGAGAGTCACGACTCAGTAGCGTTTGCAACAGTAGCAGTACTCCACCGGTGCACAATATCCAAGAGCGTCTGCCATTGGAGCAATATGGTCGTTAAAACGGTATAAAATTATTAGTTAAGCCATTTCTAAAATCATTGTTTAGTTTTTTAGTGTAATATTGAAGACTTTTAAAGGATTCCCTTCCTTAAGTATAAGCACAGTCGGAAAATACTTATGATATGAGTGGGTTTAGCAGCACTGAATGCTGTGATTTCACGTCGTATACTGTATAAACGTTATAATTTGCCATTTTAACGTCGTCGTTATTCGGTGCTTCGTAGTTGCTAACTGTATAGTTTTCACTGTATACTTAATTATTTTATTCCTGCGTGATAAACCTTTCATATGATGGCTGCTGTGAGCATCATCTAGTGACCTGCGAGAGAATTCAATTAGAGTTCCTTACCAAAAACCTCTTATGCTAGCAGCTGGCGTGAATCCTATATTTCTCTCTTTTAAAAGTGATCGGTTGATAGAATGTACTGATCCATACTGAAGGTTAAGGTTTCTATACTTAACAGGAATACATCAAACCTTCAAAGTTATGTCCAGACTCTTTTCCCATATTAAATATTTATTGTTAATTTGTCGCTTTATTTGATAAAAATATTGCTTTTACTATACCAGACGATGAAAGGATTACATTAAACAGGCCTGCTTTGTTGTATTTCCACAGAAGCAATGTCAGACATTCACTGTCTCTTTCCTGTGGAGCTGGCAGAGTGATCTTGAGGAGAGCTTCCTATAGACGCCTCCATTGCCTCTGACTCGTGCTAGTGCAATGGCTTAAATATTTTAAGGTTCACATACGTCTTGTACTTTGGGAGCTCATCTGTCATGTTTGTTTCAGACTGTGTGCAGTATTAACATATACATTAGGAAAAAGGCACCGCATGCCAAAACTGTTGATTAATAGACCATATCTAGCTTGGAATAGGTACTGTAACGTGTGGCTTTACAAAAACAAACTAACATATGGGCAGATATGAGTAACCTAAACCAATATTTTTCAATACAGGGTGATGTGTATCATTGTAGAGCCAAAAAAAGGGATTACAAGTGTTTATGCAGGAAAGGCAGATGACATGCAGACCTGTGGCAGGTGTCTCTTAGGTCCCTGGTTAAGGGGAGTGAAGTTCCTAATTAAATTTGAGTTGCTGTGGATGTTATTCATCTTAATAGCCTTGCATCATGAAGTGAACTGCAACAATCTCCTGACCTCGAAGTGGTATTACTTTATTATGCTTATTAGTTATTTTTGTTATATGCTGTTGTAAAATGTTCTTTAGCCATTCTGAACTTTCAAAACCAATTGGACCTTTTAAAATATGTCTTTATGTAGGGCTTAGAAATCTCTGTGAAGAGTTGTAGTTATACAGAGGTTAAAAAATGCAAGGAAAATATGAATCCTCTGTTCATCATGTGTTGGATTTTTTCCTGAAACTTTCCTTGTTGGAAAATTTATTTTCACTTATTTGCCATGCTGTGATTGTAAATAATCAAATTTAGTCTTAAATCCAGTCTGGCTGGGACTCCAAAGACATTTTTTGAAAATGCTATGCTTTGAAACCAGATTTAAGTAGATGTGATTTATTTGTTTGAGGTCCTATTTTTAAAAGCTCTGTTTAACTGTAGTGTATCAGACTCAAAACCCTCCTTTTCAGAAAAGCCTTTACTTAACTGCTTCCATTCTTCACCCCTCTGCTCTTCTTAATACCATCTTCCACGGTCTCCTCTATTGTTATTGTTGTATTGTTGTAATTATAATTGTGTCCTGTCTTGTGAAATTTTCTTATTTATTGTTATTGTCATCCTGTAAAGCGCTTTGAGAAGCCACCTTTAAAGGCGCTATATAAAATAAAGTTTATTATTATTATTATTATAGTGTAAACCTTTTATGTTTGTTCTGCTATTACTGTCGCTTTTGATTACATATGGTTGGGAGATAAACTGATATTTATTTTGTTATGAATATCTTGGAGGAAATACCTTGACAGGGTTTTGACAGATTCCCATAGATCTCTTAAAACTGAGTTTATTTTACATTTTTTGTCCTGTGTAGTCTTCAGACTCTCTCAGATTACTACAGATATCCTTTCACTGTGGAAATTCCCGTTCTTGCATTAGACGAAGATGGTTTACTGGCTCAGTACTTCATTTTTGTGCCCGTCTCCCTCCCTGTCCCCTTTAACCTGTTGCCTTTACGCAATATCTAATCATCACACCGATGGACAAACAACAGTTACTTCAGTACAAAAAGATGAATTTTTAATCTGTTTTTTTTTTGCGCATGTAGGCGTTTTTCAGAGTATACTGTCTGTGAAGGAGCTGAATTTGGGGATGATAGTTTTGAGGCATTTCTTTTATTGCAGATCTACTTGGGGGATTTGAATGGAAGAAAAACCCCAGCAGCTAGGTTTTCTTAAGGTGGCTGCTGATATTTAACATGTGAAGAAAGATACTTAACCTCACACATCAAATCCATCTCAGACAATGTTTTGTTAAATTGTTTGTTTTACACAAAGGTTGCCGTCATTGTTGAACTGTTAGACTTGTGTATTTTTACACTTCATTTTGCCAGTGTATTTCTGCTTTTTCACATCTACAGTCCTCTTTCTCTATCGCCTTCACTGTAATACAGGGATATTTATTTCACCACACATTCTGACTTAATCTTGTGCTGTCATCCTGGTTTGATTACATTAAAAGCTGGGTGCAAACAAAATGTTCCATTTGAATTGGGTCAGAGCAGTTGTCTTTCTATTTGTGTAAAAAATGCTTTCATTTGGGTTCTTGATAATGCTGAGGTTTAAGCCAATACTTGCGTAAGATCTTGGTATAATTTATTATTTGATATTTTAATCTGTTCTCTAAAGTGTCAGTAAGGTATTTTGTATGTAGTTGTGCAACAGTAACCAGACCCTGCTTTTCTTCATTTTCTTTAAAATTGATTATTGTAATATTCTTTTAAAATGTATTGGCAAGACCACCCTTTGGAATTATGTGCCTTTTTCCATGTCCAAGTCTGAGAGACACAGTCACATGGCCCCTCTCCTTTCTGGGCTATTAGATTTCATTAGATTTTAGTAATTGCATGAAAAGTATTAAATGACACTGCTGCCTCGTACGTATACATCTTACACTTGATTCATAACATTGGCTGGTGTACCATTGCTGACTCGGTGATTGTGCCCTCAATGACAAGTGTGTGCACCATTGCAGATTGGTTCTTTTTGATCTTGAGCACCAAGTCTAAAAGAGAAAGGTGTTCCCATATTGGATTTGGAAGTCTGAGTCAGTGACTTTAAGATTGTAACTACATTATAAGTTAAACTTTTTATTTTTTTGTCAGGAGAAACTGTTTGTGATTAAGCACCTTTCTTACAACAAACAATTTTTCCAATTCTGTGCATTACGGAACCTAGGGATGCCTGCCAACAAAAAGCTTTTTAAATTATAGCCTGCTGATGTCAAATACAATATGACTGTGCTTTCCCCTCTTGAACCTCTTTCTTGTAAGCGATATCAAGATTTGCATCAATGATCTTACCAAGTAGATGAAATATGTGGAAAATACTTTTTTTTAAATGTGTTATGTGATGGATTAAAACTTCTTGTTGCTTTAATTGTAGTGGTTACAAATGTGTAGAACTTAATTAAGAGCTAATTAAACATTAGTATATTTGTGGGCTAAAAAATACCCAGATACTTCAGGTTTTTCAACTGGTATAAAGATGCATAAGGTAGGCATGGTCATCAGTCCAATACTCCTTATTTTAGTACTGTGGAAGATGCAAGCAGATTGATTAGGGTTTGCACACCTGGTCTGTAGATGATAACTGGAGCCTCTTCATATAGATTATATTTAATGGAAAGTGTTTTTCATTTTTTATTTCATTTTGTGTTCTCTAGTGGGTCTTAAATTTAGTATTCTACTAGCAGAAAAAAAAATGTCCTGAAAGCATATCTGTGAGAAAAAGAAAACTAGACAGAAAAT